CGGTTGTTTGACGTTTATGGATTTTGGTATTGTCTGATGCTGCGATACTTGAGCCAAGCACCGGCATGCACTACAGGATACTGGTATTCCTCTATCGTGCTATGTATCCCATCCATCTTGACGAGGCATTCTCGAATCTCAATGGGGGGAGGGAGGGGGGGCTCTGTTGCCAAGGCGCATTCACCAAGCCCCACGCCCCATCATGAACCCTGGTTCCAGCTCGTCCATCGCTTGGCCATTCAGGAACTTGAAGACAAGTCTCAAGGCATTTTCCTATTTCTGAGTTTGCAGTTCGAGTATCAATGTATGTGATGCTGATGGGTACTGCGGAGCTGCCGGTCGTTGTTCGACTTGGAAGACGCACAGCTATTAACTTGATTGTAAACAGTCGAACAGTCTCTACGTGTCGTGTCACACCAGCGACTCTCACCAGCCCTGTAGGGTTTCCTCCATGTCACTGCCGATCTGAGACTTGTCTCAGTAACAAGACACAAGTTTCCGTATAAACAGCCTTGCTTGTTGCCCGACCCTCCTACATTCCAGGCATCCATTTCGAAAAATTGAGCTGGCATGCTTCAGTTCTTCTTGTACAAGGTTGGTTTTTCCACTTTCCCTCAAGGCTGAGACTAAAAAGTCGCTACAAAACACAGCCTCCCCGGTGCTGTGCATGCATGAGCCTGTCAGGGCCTGACAAATGTTGGAGATCATAGGTAGATTACAGTCGATGCATTGCATGACCGGTTGCTTTGGGGTGGATCCTACCAGTTGTATCGCAGTTAATTCCGCTTTATTTACCCTTGATTCCGTATATGCATACCTCTAGTAGGTACTCAAGACAAGGTGAGGGTATAGGTTACGGTGGTAAGAAATATCCAATATCGAACTAATACTTCTGATGAGAGGGATACATAATTAAGCAATCAATATAATACTTCAAGAGATCTTTATCTTAAGATCTTTAATAGTAAATAAAGATATTTTATTACATAGATATAACCTTTTTTTAATATCTTAGGAACTAATCACTAATAAAACTTTGTAAATCTTTTACCCCTACAGCCTCTCCCGATAGACTGACAGACCCGCAGAGTTTAAATGTGAGCGTTTCACCTGCCTAACTTTGTGGCATTATCGTAGTCTCGTTGTCTTGGTGGTGGATCGCATAGGCTGGGCAACCCTCCCTTTAAGGCTGAAAGCGACAGTCTAGAGCAAGCCCGGCAATAGTTAGACGATGACCCAAATGTGACGTCAGAATCTTGGGAAAATAATAATCTCTCCATTGTTCCTGGCGGAAGTCTCGGAGGACTAGCTCCCTTTGACGGCGACTCTACTGGCCAAGACAGGGCTTTTGAAGGTGTTTGAAGAGGTGATTTCGTGAGAGGAAGAGTGTGCCCAGACACCATACGTATAGACTCGGCAGTCTTTGTGACACATCAAGCTTGTGAGTATGATTTGCTGGGGAGCGAAGATCCGGCCGAAAGCAGCCCAGCAATAGTAGTTGTAAAGCTAAACTTGAGCAGTCCTCAGGTAGCAAGAAAATATCAGAACATGATATCAGATATTAGAATAAACTTAGCAAAATGTATACAAACTTAGCATATAAAGCTTCGCAAGATGTATACAAAACTTAGTAAAGTTATCCTAATAAACTTATGCTAATTTACCTAATTTTTTTTGTCATTTTTAGGATCTACAGGTAAAGTTTAGACCAATTTAGCTTAGTCACCCACCTCAAGGACCCACATTTCAATCAACAACATGCCTTTTTTTTTTTTTTTTTGGTCGGCAGGTCGGGTTTTGAAAGGTACGACGACATTTATTTCATCATGTCGCATGATTTAATATTTTCCGATGTCCCGACCCGCGAGCAACGAAAACACCAAGCTCGCGAGTTTGATTTACTAGGCAGTGAAGATCCGGCCGAAAGCAACCCAGCAGCAGCTCGGATTGTGCTTGCTTTGCTCGCACCTGATGTCTCTGAGACCGTTCTTCAACAGCAGCTGGATCGACGAATCCTGCGCGCTCTCGCTAGTGGCCGTCATGCCTCGCGCCTCGGATTCAGTTTAGTACTCACAAATATCCTCAAAGCCCTCTTTGGAGAAGCAAATCTTGCCCAGACTAGATTCCCCAACCTCGGCTTTGGTGAAATCCTTCAGTTACTTACCAAGAACACCAAAGCGAGCGGCGGCGGCAGCATTTCTGGGCAGGAAGAGAGGGACATCTTGTTTGGCCGCCTGTTCGGACTTTTCGCTTTCATCGAATCCGGGATTTTGTTCGCCAATATCACGAGATGGCATCTGGTCCTTCGGCTCATTCTGGACCTGTCTGGCAAGAAGCCGTGGATGCAACCGTTGTGCGGGCATCACATCCTTGCCGCCTTGAAACATATGAACTCGCAGCAAGCACTGGACACATTGAACAAGCTCGATGAAGCGAATGTAGCAAAGACACCGGAGGGAGTCGCTGTCTGGGTCTTTGCGCAGACTAGATTCCCCGGTCTCAAGGTCAAGTATTGGCAGGTACCCTTTGACAAGACCACGATTGGCGATCTCGTTGCGATTCTGCGAGAAAGCCTAAAGGATTCTGGCCTGGACGACGTGGAACCCAGCCAGCAGATCAAGCTTGCTGGCTGGAATCCTATACTGCACCCAGCGTGGAGCGTCATCCTGGACTACTTCGTCAATGCGGGACAAAGTGGACTCGAAGTGTTTAAGCGCTTCTGGACTCGTGTCGTAGATGGTGAGTCATATGAAATTCTTTGCATAGCGGCTGCTGACATTACTAGACTCCCTTTTCTCGCAACGTGCCACGGATGGCCAGAAATTCAGAGGGTTTCTGGTGTTCCAAAAGATGCTCCAAGGCTTTGTTGATCTAAGTGATCACATTGAAGTGCTCTTCAGCAAAAACTTCATGTCCTGCCTCATGAATCAAGTTTCGCGGAGGGAGAGATATCTGTACAGAGCAGCGACCAAGACTCTAACAGTGATCGAGTCGACGACCTCAAATCACAAACAGACACTTATTCCCATTCTCAAGTGCCTCCTAGGCAATAATGGAGTCTATCACTTTGACGAAAGAACAAATACCAAGACTGTCCACAAACTTTTGAAGAACGTATCTGAATCCACTGGCAAGACCATAAGCAAAATCATCCGAAAACCAATCGACACGATTGCTCAGGTAGGCAAGGGTGAGGCTTCAGCCTTACTCCGAGCCCATGTTCGTTATCTGTCAGAAGTTGGCAGTATGTGCAGCTCACCTGAGAACGTGCCGTTCCCAGAGAAAACCTTCTCTAGTGTCTCGCTAGAGCTCTCCCGACTGGCATACTACCAAACCACAGGCATCCCCGCGGATATCCTAACGGAGACTGTCCGCGAGATGTACCGGACTTCTCTTGCATCAGTCTTGGCCAAGGCCAGTGGAAGAATAGAGAGCTGCGATTCCGTATGTCATGTTGTATCTTCCTTAGACATCGGCTCGATGGTTTTGTCCGAAGAGCTTAAAACGGCTGTCCAACAGGCGCTATCAAGGATGGAGAAGCTGCGCAAGCATAGCAAGTCAGACGACACGAACAAAGGCCTCTTTGGAAGTATCGCATTGTTGCATGCCGTAGCTGTCTTGCGGGTCTATAATGCCGAGCCTGATGCTATGGAAGACCTCGAGTTACTTAGCCAACACTCTGGTGATTGGAAGGAGGGCAAGTTCGCGAATGACAATGGCGACACCTCCGTGGCTCTCATCGAAATGTTGTTGTCAATGGTCGTGCAGCCTTCATCTCTCATGAGGCAAGTTACGCAGCAAGTATTTGGGACATTCACACCACACATCTCTGCTGCAGGTTTGGAGCTCTTGACCGGTCCCCTCACATCTGGCGAGAATACCAAGGGCGAAAAGGAACTGTTCAGCAATGGGGACGATGAGATGGAGGTCGATGAGGATGAGGACGAAGAAGGAACAGATGCTGATGAGGAGGATGACTCGGATATCGAGATTGATTCTGATGTCGAATTCATTGATATCAAGGAGGCGGACGATGAAAGCGGGAAAGAAGAAGAAGAAGACGAGGACGAGGACGAGGACGAAGATGGACCAAATAGCAAAGGCGAATTCGACAGACCTGAGGACTTGGACAACGAACTCGAGAAGATCCTCAACAGCCATCGACTCGACAAGGACGTTGATGCCGCGTCATCAGAATCTGAGGGTGATATGTCTGACTCTGAAATGTTCGCCATCGACGAGCAGCTCGCAGCAACTATCAAGCCACGCATTCAAGACCCCTCAAACAGCTCCAAGAAGCTGAAGAAGAAGGCCAAGCAATCGGTTCTCAATTTCAAGAACCGAATTCTTGATTTGCTCGACATCTACGTTCGCAATGAGCGCTGCAACGCTCTATCATTTTCTCTCCTCTTACCCCTGCTTGATTGTATGCGAGCAACCAGCACCAAATCCCTAGCTGACCGTGCGAGCAAGGTCATCTCTAACTATCGAAAGTACCAGAAAAAGGCCATCTCTAACTTCCGAAAGAGTCAAAGGCAGGCCACCAATGACTCCCAAGAGGTCCAGATTCTCGAACCTGATGACATGCTAGACTTATTACGCGAGATTCATAAGGCTGCCGGTCAGAATGACTCGCATGCTTACGCAAAAGCGGCCAGTACGGCGAGCCTCATCGTGGTGTCGGCCCTTATCACTGCCGACAAGACCAAGATGGAGGATGTCGTTGTTATTTATGCCAAGACACAAGCGAGCTGCTACTCTCAGAACACAAAGTTGCAGTCGTCTTTCCTCGATGACTGGCAAGACTGGTACCGAAATGCATTGCAGCAAGCTCGGAACTGATACCCTAATAGACATAATTCCCTCTTAGACAGATGGCATGAATCGAAACCAGTCACCCTCAGAGTGAATCGGATGCCTGCAGATGAAATTAAATTCTATGAGCTCGTCATCGTCATCGTGATAGTACAGGTGCTTTGATTTTTCTTAGCATAACTCGCCTAATCCTCCATCTTGTCATCCTCTGCATCCTCATCCTCATCGTCGTCATCATCATCGTCCTCAGCCTTTGCTAATCGTTCAGCCTCTTCCCGTAGCTCCTTTGGCACCTCAACATGTCGTCCCTTGGTAGGGCCGTCAGGCCCACTGATCCAGGTCATCTCCAACTCAAAATCCTTATCCTTGTTGTCCTTCTGCGCAATGTAGATGATGCGTGCAGCCTGCTTCACAGCTTCCTCTAGGGTAATGTTACCAGCGGGTAGGTCAAGCTTCTCCAACTCGGCCTTGGCAGCCTGTCGACCCTTGCCTGTAGCCGCTCCGTAGTAACCCCAGTACATACCACTGGGCTCGATCATGTAAAGGAAAGGACCGCCGTGCTTGCCCTCGACCTTGCCACCGGCGCCAACCTTGGGTCCTGAGCCAACCTCTCCATCGACAGGGGTCTCTTCGGGAGTATCGTAGCCGCCCACGATAGCGGTGATGCCAAATGGTCGAACTGATCCGTACATGGTGTAGGCCTGAAGGTAGCCACCCATGCGGCTGGCAAGATCGGATGTGGGGATGGGGGTCTTGAAGTTCTGTCGCCAGCTCTGGGCCTCGTCGCGAGCGCGATCAACGAAGTGACGTCCATCAGGGACCATACCAGAAGATACCTGGTGAGATTAGTACAAGCTCATCCTAGCCAGAGCAGGTAGTTCTACATACAGCTCCGACATGGCTATCGATGGTTGCAATACGCTTGTTGGCACCGGGTTTTAAGAGCTTGGATGAAACGACCTTCTCGATAGCCAGGACAACACCATCCTTAGCTCGAATACCGATCGAGGTACCGCCATTCTCTACTGCCTTGACTGCGTATTCGACCTGGAAGTTGCGTCCATCAGGAGAGAAGATGGAGTTGAGCAAATCATAACCCGTGCCTATCGATGTCTATAATGTGAAAGACAAGGTAGGTCAGCACTTGAAGCTGTCTTCCAATGACGACAATCAGGCTTGAGCGGTTGTAGGGATTAGCTTACCATGATGTCTGAATGTTCTGATCAAGAGAAATAGCGTGATCCGAAAGGCAAGAAAAGATGGGGTGAGAATTGGTGATGTGGAGGGGAGCTGTGTTGTCGAGATATCTGCGACGGTGTTGACTTGGAGCTTCCTTCACCCAGGCAGCCTGGAGCTGCGTGTTGCATCTGAGGTATGGTACCTACCTGCAAGGCTGGAGAACTGATGCCTGAGGTGTAAAAGATATGCGCCACGACTGAGTGCCACGCTTCGTACGCCACATTTCAGCTCAGCCTTGAGAGCTGGCACACACGTGGCTGTGAAAGCGGGAGTGGCGGATCCCTCTAGCTCCTCCCGTGTGCATCGATCTCCCCTGCAGGAGGAGACCTTTCATGGATTTGGAGTCTAGAACCGGCAAACTGCACATCAGACATCCACGGATCGCATGGACCAGTCCTTGGGAAGCAAGAAAACATAAGACTTTAGAAGAGGGTACTAAAATAATAAAATAAACTCAGTAAAGAGTCCCCCAAGCTTAGGCTAATTTACCTAAGTCTTTCTATTATTTAGGATCAAGTTCTTGAGTTTTTTTTCCCTCCCCTAGACCAGGTCTTGGGACTGCATCGACATACTGGTAGCATGATGCTTGATTATAGCATGATGTTTCTTCCACGACACTCCTCTGATACCAGTCATACATATCACTCGTGGATACTTTTAATACCTCATATAGTTTCTGTCCCCCGCAACTTTGACGCTTTGAAAGACTAAGGGAGAATGTGTGACCAGGCTAGCATCGAGACTCAAGTTAAGCACGCCGTCAAGTTTGCAGGTCTGTTACCAAGACAGGTAAGAGCTCATAGCGTCAACAGTTGAGGACCAAAAAAAACACCACTATAAAACCTTAGGGGTATATGCTTTGTAGCTGGCGGTGAGTCTCATTTTTGTTGGAGCCTAGAGAGCAGATTAGGGTGGTGGGAAGATCCGGAGATTTCCATCTCATGCTGCCCAGGTATATGTTGATTCACAGAATGACATGCACGGCCCAGAATGATTGAGAACGTGGCGAAACTGAGTGAACCACGTCAAAGGAGATGATTCGGAAACGGAATGCAGTTGTAACAGACGACCATGTCGGCGTTAAGCTAGAGCATATGGACAGTAATTAGTGTGTTACGGTCACCTTGTGGCACAGGCTTATTGGGTGGCACAAGGTCAATAAGACCAGGGTTTGAAGCTCTTGGAGTTGGAAGGAGTGCAAATCCTCCTGTGAATGCCTGAATGAGGCCAGTGAATGAATTGTTGATACCTCGAACAGAGTAAAGACATCTGAGAGCAATATTACCTGGGAGCGAAGATCAGCAGAACAAGTGATGCACCAAGAGCGTTAAGTTTAGTGCTTGGTGGTGAATGGAAGTGGATGTTGTCATAGAGCCCATCATGTGCCTCTGTTAGTTGTGTCTTTAGGTACTGCGTCATGACCTGAGAAGGGTGCCTGAGCAAATGAATTGGCAGGTGTGTGTCCCACTGAGCTGTCCCACGTTTCATAGGTACCTACCCCTCCATGTATTTTTATCCCCCGCGCTTCCATCACTCTTGAGAACCCTCTTGATTCTTCACATTAACAACGCTCGCCTTTATTTTAACCCGAATAAGCATCATAGAGCGCCTCTGCTCCTCAAAGATACCATCATATCACTTGAAAACTGCATAAAGAACCCCCAAAAGATCCTCTCAGGCGTTCGTGTCTCCCCACTCACAACTCACTTCCCTTCCCCGTGCGGTCCCTGCAACTCGACCCAACGGTCCACCGCTCTTAGACAAGCCCCTCCAAGTCAAGGCCTAATCAAGGGTCTGTTGAGCCAAAGAACAAGAGACGAACCTCTCTTTCTTGACTCAACCTTTTGTTCATACATATATCTCTTTCTTTCTCTATTGACCTTATCTGCTTTCCTTTGACTACTCGTCAAAAAGCTTAGCTTAGCTTCCAAATATAACAAAGAACAAGGGTATCCTCCTGTTCCTTTCTTCATCTGCATTACGCATGACCCCGAAACACCTCCGTATATCGCTTCATTTCGAATCCGTTTCTATCTCAACCAGGCTTCCTCAAAAGGCATCGAACTGAAATAGGCAGACGAACCCAAAAGCTACAGTCGTCGCCTCTTTATTCTGATATCAAACCATAAAGCAACAGCTCCTCGTGCTCTTCCAGCTGATACATAAACCCGCACCACAGTTGGTATTCGGCAACTACCCTTGAACTCAATATTATGCATCAACTGCTAACAACCCTCAGGAACAATAGAACCAACCATGTCATTTTCTCCGTCCACCATGCAACAGGATGAGCTTGCTGCTCTCCTGGCCCGTAACCTCAGCTTCAACCCAATTCCCGAGCCTGCCCCTGCACCACAACAAGAGCCCAAGGCCGATCATGCTGAGCCCATTGTGTATACTTCAGTTCACTACACCCACTCTGCACACATATCTCAAGCAGCTCAACACCAAGACGTCCCTCGCCGTGCTTCAGAGCCACCCCAGACGCAAGGGCCCAGTGTTGAAGCTATATTGCAACACCACGGCGTTGATCCAGCTACTCTGACGCCTTCACAACTTCAGCTATTCAAAGTTGCCGAGCCTTCTCAGCAAGAGAGACTTATTGAGCTTTGGAACATTTGCCCTCCCGGAAACGGTGGCGACATCCCAGCTCTCGCCTGGAGTAGCACCACTGTGGAACATGAGGAGCAACTTGCCCGCTTGCGTTACGAACGACTGAACCAGCAGCAACAAGTCATGAGTCTGGATGGTACCCAAGTTCAAGCAGTTGATGGTAGGTGGGTTCGTAACTCAGAGCCTGAGGTCGAACCATACATGACTTCTGGCTACGAGGAGTTGATGCGCAGAGAGCGTGAACGAGAGGCCCGGGACAGCCAGCCCAGGAGCACCTACGGTCTCTACTCACACGCCACAGACCCTGTCTACATGGGTCCGGACTATGCTCGCGAACAGCAGTTGCTGGAGATGGCAACTCAGTACGGTGCTTACCAAGGATTCCGAGCACCGGAGGTGGACACTATGGATGTTATGTAAATAAATATCGTCTATCCAAGCCGAGCAGCGGAATAGTATGACCAGACGTTCAACAGTCAATCTACATAGAAGCTCGGGATGGCGATGGGATATCATATAAGGTGGACAACTTATACGCCAATGTGCGTACAGGAAAGGGATCTGTTGATAGAGCCATGGGCTGTTGGTCACTGTTTAGGTTTTGTTGCTTAGTATGGTTATCAGGTTGCTGGATGAGTTTATCGTGAGAGACTGGCTTCCAAAGGGGAGTGGATAAGGCGGCGTTGGTGGAACTTTCGTTTTTCTTTTTGCAAATCATTTTGCTCCCTCTCCCAGTATCGCCCTCATCAAGTACTTGCAGTGTATGCTAACAACTAGTTCTACCTAGAGAGAGTATATGCAAGGGAGGCAGTTTTGTTCGCCAAAGGTACGTTGTCCCTTTCGACACCTGCCTTCCGGGGCTGCAACTCACTCAATGTGCTCCCTGACCGTGATATTTCATATATACTTCCTAGCAGTATATCTAGACCAGGCACTCAACCACCATGTATCCAGCAAGAATCAATAAAAAAAGCTTTTTGATAAACACTGCATGTTTTCGAACTCCTAAAACTGCTGGTTTATGAATAACAAGTCACGTCCATATATTTATTCTGGCTGTCCAAGTTATTGTAAAGGGGTATCAAATTCCATTCACGCCTTGTGAAGTGAATGGTCATCATCGTGCAGTTCATCTATATCCATGTTTAAATTCCAGTCTTCTCGAGCTTCTTTGCCAACTCGTCCACCTCCTTGTCCTTGACAGGAATAACGGGTTCCTCTTGGGCCTCCTCAGCCTCCTTGATCAACTTCTCGGCTCGGTCCTCAGGCTCAATCTCCTCTTCCTCCTCTTCCTCTTCCTCCGCGTCACTGTCTGGCTCCTCAAGGTCCTCCAGCTCGTCAACACCCCATTCATCCTCGTTGACAATATCGCCACCAAACTTCTCCTTGCGCTCCTCGAGAAGCTCCTGAAGGACGGGAATCGACTCGTCGTCCTCTGTGAGAATGTTGCCGTTGATTTCAATTCGCTTCAACGCAGGAAGACCATCCTTGGCGGCAGTGGCGAAGGCCTTGATACCCTTGGATGTGATTTCGTTGTATTGCAGGCGCAGGGTCTCAAGTTTAGCATTCTTGCCCTTGGCCAGAGCGTCTGCTACGAGGACACCACCCTTGGCACCAAGTAGGGAGTCACCAACTCCCAACTCCTGGAGTGAGGTCCAGTTGGCAACAACCTTTGACAGAGCTCGGGCCCCAGTGACGGTGAAGGTGTTGTCCTGCAGGTCGAGGACCTCGAGTTTGGAAGCGTGACTGAGACCCTCGGCGAGAAGGTGGGAGATACCTTCTTGTCGAATACCGTTCTGAACCATCTTGATCACTTTGATCTTGTTGTGCAGCTTGTAGGCCTTTGCCCACGCCGTCATACTTCCATTCTCCAATCGGTTTCGGCCGCAGATAACAGTCTCGAGATCGGGAACTTCCTTTCCTTCCTTTCGGGCAGCCTCCTTCTTGGCGTGAAGCTCGGAGAGCGCATCAGCGATGAGGATACCAGCGTGAGGGCCCATGCCGTTGTTGTTCAGGTAAAGGTGCTGCAGTGGCACATGGGCGGCTAGGAAGGCCACGAGAGGCGCTTGGACGTTCAAACCAAAGGCATTGTCATTCAAGTTGACAGTGTTGAGCTTGGGAAGGTTGAGGACGGAGGTGAGTAGCGAAGAGATGGCGTCAGGGATCTCGCTCAGGAGTCGGCCAGTGAAGATATCGGCGAAGTTTGCGACCTGGAGAGAAGTGCATTGGTAAGTCATAGCAGCCAGGGAGAGGTGATGTTTGACGCACTCTCAGGTTCTTCTTGGTCGCAAGAACCTCACCAAGAAGCTTACAGGCGCCAACACCCAGAGTGTTGCCCAAAATACGAACTTCTTCGACGTCTGCAGATCGAAGAGGGGCAATATGAGGCTCGAGATCCTCAGCAGTGTCGAGCTTGAGGCCCTTTCCCTCGAGGGAAAAAATCTTATCGGAAGAAGCCATTCTATAGAAAATTGAGAAAAGAGGAATTCGCGCAGAATCGAACAGCAAAGATGGTGACGACCAAGTCTGAAAGGAAAAGTCGGTTTAATAAAAACAAAAGAATGTCGCCGGTGTTTGGTGTGAAGATGAATCGAGTCAAGGTGGGGGTGGGGTAGCAGACAGAATTAGGCAGTAGTTAGGCTTCTTGATCAGGTTTAGAGCATTTCCTAACTTTTTTATGTAATTTCCCATTGCCATGGGCAGCAGATCTCGAAGCCGCTTGTCGATGAGGGAGTCTAATGAACAGACGGGAATATATGTACATAGGTATCACTCAGATATCTCATGCAATCATCATTTGGAGATGGCTCAATGAATTGAAACATGATACAAATGGCCATAGCCTGCTTCCGTAAGATCTCATAGTTACAACTGTCATACCTGTAAGAACTACCTTATTACACACTAACTATTGTTTCTACTGTTCGCTGTTAGTATCCATGGACCAAACCAAACCGAACCCGACTTCAACCCGGGAGTCGGAAAAATTTGGAACACTCACTCATCGGAAGTCACCTGGCCGCTCAGCCGAGCAAGGCCAGAGTGGTCGAACACGTGACATTGATCCGACCCGCATCCAATCAGAGCCGGCTTATTGGAACGCTCGATAGGATTTTGTCTGATGCTGCTAATGATCTCTGCTTGAGCCCTTTTGTCCTCCGACTCCGAGAACGACCTCCCCATCTCGCCGTCTCATAATCGATCGCACCAGCGACGGTATAGCTCGCCCACAATGCTTGCCAGGTCGTGTTTGCGCTCGACGCGCACCTTCAATGGCCTCCGGAACGGCCCTTCTGCTGTCACCAAGGTATGGCACGATCCTACCACCTCTGCCAGCGAGCTTCCCGTTTGCCGAGAGATCACAACCACGAACCTCGACACGCCGCAGCCACGCCAATCGCAACTGAATGCGCCTCAATTGCATGTACACGATTGCTGACCCCATTTTCTTCCCAGCGTGCCGCTTCCTCGAGCTCCAGCGCCGCCAGCGATGCCTCTGCCACCCGATTGAATCTGGCTGCCGCCGCCTCGACTACCCTCGCCCTCGGCTCCATGGCCTGGTACTATCACCTTTACGGACCTGTTGCCTTTGCTATGACTCCCGCCGAAGAGGGGTACGTGATACTTTCGGTTGTTGATGGTCGTGTTTCTGCATCATCTCAATTTGGGTGATGAGGCATAAATGCTGGCTATCGATGATCCGCACTGTTATTGCATCACCAATTGCTAACAGTGCCCATATAGACTTCACGCTACCAAGTACCCTTGGGTTCACAACAAGTGGTTCAAGACCTTCGACCACCAGGCGTAAGCTGCCGCCGATCCTGTAGAACACGCCGTGTCGAATTACTGACCCCCTCATAGTCTCCGCCGTGGTTTCCAGGTTTATCAGGAGGTCTGCCAGTCCTGCCACTCCCTCAGCCGAATCCCCTACCGAACTCTCGTCGGCTCCGTCTTGACCGTTGACGAGGCCAAGGCCCTTGCCGAGGAGAACGAGTACCCCGGTGAGCCCGATGAGCAGGGCGAGATCCAGATGCGCCCCGGAAAGCTGGCCGATTACATGCTGCCTCCTTACAAGAACGAGGAGGCTGCTCGATTTGCCAACAATGGTGCTCTCCCCCCGGATCTGTCTCTTATCATCAAGGCCCGACACGGTGGCTGTGACTACATCTTCAGCTTGCTCACCGGCTACCCTGAAGAGCCCCCTGCTGGTGTTCAGGTCGCTCCCGGCATGAACTTCAACCCTTACTTCCCCGGTACCGGTATCGCCATGGCCCGTGTCCTTTACGACGGTCTCGTTGAGTACGAGGATGGTACCCCCGCCACCACCTCTCAGATGGCCAAGGATGTTGTCGAGTTCCTCAACTGGGCTGCCGAGCCCGAGATGGATGACCGCAAGCGAATGGGTATGAAGGTTCTTGTCGTCTCTGCCTCTCTGTGGGCTGTCAGTGTCTGGGTGAAGCGATACAAGTGGGCTTGGTTGAAGTCTCGAAAGATCGCCTACGATCCCCCCAAGGAGGTCAAGGTCCGCCGCTAAAGGGGCAACATCTCAAAGTCTCATTTGTATACTAGTCGCCCCTAGAGCAGCTCCTTTGTCGGCGGTGGCGGGTAGAAAAGAAGCCTGGTCGTGGAAGGAAAGGTGGATGTTAGAGTGTAAATCAGATGAATCGTTTTCAATACCTTATTCGACAAACTACACTGGGAAATATGAAGGGGTGACGGGTGGTAAAAATGTGAAAGCTCTCTGTACTCGTGGCCGCCACTTTCCCTACCTTCAATGCTTGTTATATATGATTCAATGTCCTGATCTGAACAACCCGAGTTCATTGCGTTCTCATCACAAGCCTTGGTTAAGTTTACTTTGGCACCGTTCAACCCCACCCCAGACTTATATCTCATACTTTTTTATGTAGAACGGACTTCAGCAAGACAACCAACTCATATGTCATTATCAATACACCAAGGATGACGATTGGTATCTGGGAGGTCTTGTCTCGGGCTCATCAGGATACCTTCAAATGCCTTTCATCGAGGGACTCTCAGTTTGTGTTATTAGCTTGAAATATAAATATTACATAAATATCTACTTATCCATGCTATCTCTGATTGTAGCCTCACTAGCTTCAATGCTTCAACTTGGCAATCATTTACGACAAGCCGTTAAAATATGCTGCCATTCATATCAAACCGTTAAATGCGTGAATGGTTCCAGTGGTTTGTTCACTCAACGTCCAAGGTTGATACAGGCCTCCTCCCTTATCATTGGACGATAATCAGCTAGTAACATTCAACCTCCACCCATTAACCAAACAGGAACCACTTTTCACTACCAGGCGCCAGGTTACAGCAGGTGCCTTCTTTAGGTACCCTACTAAGTTGACCAGTCACTGTTGCTCCTCTTAACCACTCCCCTTCAATCCTATTTGGTTCTCAACCTCCTCCTCTCACCTCCACGCCCTCATACTCGATTGTCGTCTTGTTCGCCTTTCTTCTAGTGCCGCTGGGATACTTCAATAGCGTTTTGCTCCGTGTCAAATCTTACCAACACTTGTTCCGCTGCCATACTCAAATTTGCCTCGCTGCACATACTTGATAAGTCCTGGCAAGGACCACACCACAATGCCCTTCGTTGGAGAAGACGCCCACGCAGGACGTAAGCGACGATGGAGCGTCGACAATGAGCAGTCCAGATTGTCTCTATACCCTTCAGAGGAGGCCAAGGACTATTATATCCTCGACCAACGGCCGGACTCAGCCTTACGAAAGGTACTTCCAGTCTCAAAGCGAACCCGTATTACCGGCGACGATATTCACGTTACCGACGGCCTCAACCCTTCCGGTTTCTCTTTCAATACGCCCCACCGCCGACGGCGCTCATCGCAACTTAAGATGCTGCCGGTGCAGCCTGCCTTTGCCATATCTCGAGTGACAGGCTCTCTGCTTGTTCCCTGTAACATCTGCCACCGCAAACCAACCAAGAAATCTGATCTCGACTCCTTTGCCAATTGCGATGGATGTGGCGAGCGCACTTGCTTCATTTGTATTAGAGAATGCCATGGTTGGAATCTAGATGGTGGCTCTGGTGTCTCGGAACAAGAAGTACTCTCCAGGTCGTTCGACATGGATGATGTTGATGATAGACAACAACAAGAACAGAACGATACGAAGAACGGAACCCGGCAAAAGGACAAGGGATGGAAAGCTGTTGGACACCGGGCTGTTGTGTGCAGTCGGTGCAGTATTGAGTGCGGAGCAGAAGGAGACGTCGCATGCTTGGGCTGCTTCTCCCGGATGGAAGGCTCATGAGTCGGAACATGCATGAAATTACGGGGCTTTGTGGACGAATAATGATGGTTTTCTCGGGCTTAAGCTGGGCGCATACATCTGCCTTAGGTAAGGTAGTTCTGCAGGGTATTTTGAGCGACGGATCTGCTCTTTGGATGGTACGGGAATGGACTCATATAGCACGTTAGCGTTCATGGGCATATCACGGGAACGGTGTTTCGGTTTTCCAGGACCTTGATGGTCTTGTTTTATGGCCTTCGGATTGCAAATGAACCACAGCGTAATTTCACAGTAGATAGATTCTGCAGATATCAACATGGCATCGGGAGCATCACAAACCAAGTCATCAATGCAATTAATTGACTTTCGGGCATGCTTATAGAAGCAATTTGTTCATTGTGACGTCTATATTCCCGCCATCCAATTGCCCTGTATTCATACACCGCATTAAAATACACCTTGCCTTATGGTGAGTATGTCTAGTTGTACTGCATATACGTCGCCGTCGAGTTGAACTTAAGGTTACCCTTGATGACCTTGTCAACTGCACTGAGGAAGTCCTTCTCGGATGCAACCTTTCTCCTTGCGCGAATGGCATACATGCCGGCCTCAGTGCAAACACTACGCAGCTCAGCACCCGTTGCGTTGGGGCAGAGACGAGAGATGAGCTCCCACCGGATGTCTCGCTCGACCGACATGGATTTAGCGTGGATGCGCAAAATGTTAGCACGGCCCTCGAGGTCAGGCAGTGAGAACTCGATCTTTCGATCGATACGGCCGGGTCGCATGAGCGCAGGATCCAATGTAGAGGGTCTGTTGGTGGCAAACATGACCTTGATGTTTCCACGAGCATCGAAACCGTCAAGCTGCGTAATAAGCTCAAGCATAGTTCGCTGAACTTCGTTGTCTCCACCAGCACCATCGTCAAATCGAGCACCACCAATGGCGTCGATCTCGTCGAAGAAAATGATGCATGCCTTCTTTGTACGGGCCATCTCGAAGAGCTCTCGAACCATCCTTGCGCCCTCGCCGACATATTTCTGAACCAGCTCACTACCAATAACTCGGATAAAGGTGGCGTCTGTTCGGTTGGCAACAGCTCGGGCACAGAGGGTCTTTCCGGTTCCAGGAGGACCGTAGAGCAGGGCTCCCTTGGGGGGATCAATACCGAGGTTGACAAAGCGCTCAGGAGACAGTAGAGGCATTTCGACAACTTCCCGTAGCTTCTCAACCTGCTCCTTACAACCACCAACATCGCCGTAGGTGACATCGGGCTTCTCCTCCACCGTCATCATCGTAACGCTCGCATCGATTTTGGGCGGTAGGGGAAGCATAATTTGGTACTTGTTCCTATCGACACCCACGCGCATCCCTTCTTCGATGTCGGTAGGACTGACGCGCTCTCCAAGCTGGACAACGAATTTTGCGATTTGCTTGACGTTGATCACATATTTGCTCTTGGCCTCGTCGCCCTTCTCGTCAGCTATGATTTTCGTGCAACGTGCCACCTGGAAAGGTTGCTCTTCAGACATTCGCTGACGGTCGGCGGCCACATCCCATAGATGGGGAGGCGCGAGTCCTGTGTCGGATTCCTATTGATGTTAGAAGCCTGTTCTACATTCGCAGAATTCCCGCCCAACCTTTACGCCGATCTTCTCATCGACACTTTGTTGCTTCTCCTTGATCTGCTTCTCGAGCTTCTTGATAGATGTACCGTAAGGCGCGGCGCCGTAGGTCTTGAGAACCTGAATATCCCTGGCGCTGGTGTTAGCGGACTAATAGCACTCTCATTTGCAGGAAGGCATTCGTACTCGTCCGTTAGAGGTGTAATCTTCTTCTCTTCTACCTCATCGTCGGCAAAGTTCTTCTGGTACTTCTCCCAGTTGGAGCCGGTTGCGGAAGGCTGTTGTTGGCTGTCAGTACGGGATAGGACACAACTAAGCTTGTATGCCTGCAATGAGACTGACCATGATGAGGACCGCGGCTCTCCAATCGTATAATAGTGTTTCAGGGGTCTGATTTGAGGGTTCTGTATTTACGAGGACACTGGTGGATAAACTATGATCAAAGAGAGTCGAATTGTTGCTGCTGTAGTCGTGATTGTTTGGGGTTGGAGGTGTCACCGAATGCCTTCCGTAATCTGTGAGTTGCCTTGAGCGAGCTTGGAGCACGGACCCACGTAATAGTGCCGCTGGAGCCAAAAGCTGACTAGGACGCTCAGAGTTAGCTCAAGGGACCTCTCGGAGCTGGATGATCTCTATCCCCGATCCAAAATTTCTAGGTTGACAATTGCATGGCGGAGTAGGGCAGCCTAGGGGAGGTGGGACATCTCCAAGAAGTCCAGTCGTGTTCCTACAAAGCCCCGCCATCAACATCACTTCTTTGCTTTGAGGATCTAGGGACCGCCAAATTATTATCAAGATATGTCTGCCCCAGTCGCAGCTCCAGCCCCTACAGGGGGAGGCTCTAGCAATGCTACTTTCCGAGTATGAAGAGCTCCAGACAGGGTTTTGAGCTTCACCCCGCTAACTGTAGACAGGATAAGGAGAAGCCCATGGCGGTGCGCTCCTCGAACATTGTCGCCGCTAGAGGTATGGCGCCTTTGGTGCAACAACAAGCTTCACAAATATTAACGGTCGAACAGCTGTCGCGGACGCCATCAGAACCTCTCTCGGTCCCCGAGGAATGGACAAGATGATTCGAGGTGGAAAGGGCGAGACCATTATCACAAACGATGGAAACACTATGCTCAAGAGCATGTCTGTCATGCATCCCACAGCAAAGATGCTTGTCAACCTTTCTGGTGCCCAGGATGTTGAAGCTGGTGATGGCACAACATCTGTTGTCGTTATCTGCGGAAGTCTTCTTGGTGCTGCCGACCGACTTCTCTCCAAGGGCATCCACCCCTCCGTCATCTCCGAGTCCTTCCAACGAGCTGCCGCTGCTGCCGTCGAGGTCCTACACGACATGTCCCTCCCGATCACTCTGAGCGATACTTCCTCGTTACTGCAAGCTGCCAACACCTCTCTGTCGTCCAAGATTGTCTCCCAATATTCGAACTTGCTCGGACCCATGGCGGTGAACTCAGTGACTAAGACCATCGACCTCAAGACCGCCGATAACGTCGATCTTAAGAACATTCGAATCGTCAAGCGAGTTGGTGGAACAATTGAAGATAGCGAACTTGTTGATGGTCTCGTCCTCACCCAGCCTGTGCTCAAGAATGCTGGTGGTCCGGCCCGTATGGAGAAGGCTCGAATTGGTCTCATCCAATTCCAGCTGAGCCCCCCCAAGCCTGATGTATGTCCATTTCTGTTACACGAGGATTACCTTTTACTTACAAATTATAGATGGAGAATACTATTCAGGTCAACGACTATCGACAAATGGACAAGATCGTTAAGGAGGAACGATTATACCTCCTGAACATGGCCAAGAAGATCAAGAAGGCGAAGTGCAACGTTCTGTTCATCCAGAAATCTATCTTGCGAGATGCTGTCAACGATCTATCACTACACTTCCTGGCTAAGCTTGGTATCCTTGCTGTCAAGGACATCGAGCGCGACGAGGTCGAATTCATCTGCAAGTCAACTGGCTGTAAACCCATCGCTGATATTGATTCTTTCACCGAGGATAAGCTGGGCTATGCGGATCTGGTTGAGGAGGTTCAGTCTTCTGGATCGCGCATGGTCAAGGTAACAGGCACCAAGTCTGTCGGCAAGACTGTCTCCGTGGTTGTACGAGGTGCCAACTCTCTGATCCTTGAGGAGGCCGAGCGAAGTCTGCACGACGCTCTTTGTGTGGTACGATGCTTGGTGAAGAAGAAGGCTCTCATCGCTGGTGGTGGTGCCCCTGAGATTGAAATTGCTGCACAGCTGTCTAAGCAAGCGCGTAGCTTGACCGGCACCGAGGCAATCTGCTGGAAGGCTTTTGCGGATGCTCTCGAGGTGATTCCCACCACACTGGCCGAGAACGCCGGTCTCAACAGTATCAAGGTAGTGACGGAGCTACGACACCGACACGAGATGGGCGAGAAGAATGCAGGAGTCAGTATCAAGTCCGGAGGAGTCAACACCAATATTTCCAAGGAGAACGTGTTGCAGCCTCTTCTTGTTAGCACAAGCGCGATCGAGCTGGCGGCCGAGACAGTCAAGATGATTCTGAGGATAGACGACATTGCTTTAACCCGCTAGAGTGAGATATCCCCCCCTGCAGCATCTGCCTTGGGTTGTATGAAAATACCAAAATGGGTTCTGGATCTGCCAAAAGCATTGCATTTTATAGAGTATGGTGAATCCTATAATTTATGCGTGGTGATCGATTGAGTTCTTCTACTGTGTTGTATGTGTACTCGCTACCTACTTAGTGATTAATGTTGGAAAACCGGTGGTGGAAGGCAAGTCCGCTCCTTCCATCTGTAACCTTACCTTACTTGCGATACAAGTCGTCTCAAGGTACCTCAGGTACCAAGAAAGTTTTGTTCATACAATAGGCATTTCGACAACTCCTTTCGGTCTAACCCACGCATTTCAGCTTTACGATATTAGTTTGTGCATTTACTCGCTGCGATCCGTCTCAACCATGGCTGCAAGTGACGAGTCGAATTATTCCAGCAATGAGGACGGCAAACCCGATTTTGCTGCAAAAGCTCATGGTCGCCTTTTGCAGGTAAGATTTACGACATTCTGATCCATAACCTGATCTTCGCTGACTCTTTCAATGGCAGTTGAAGAAGGGGCGAGATGAGCGCATGAATGCTATTGTTCAGGAGTCAGCTACAGAGATGGACAAGTTACGCAGCAGCATCGCCAGGTTTCAACAAGATCGACGAACAAAAGAGTATGTAGTCCAACAGAGACTTATCCTAGGGATACAATTGACGATTGGCAGAGCGCGCGCGGTTGCCATTTCTGTGACCAGGATTATGGAAGCAGTAGAGCGCAGGAAAGGCATTGAGCAGCGAATGGAAACACTCGTTTCTCGGCTAATCAACAAGACCCAGGAGGTCGAGAGCATGATGAAAATAGGCCTTCGGGGCAGGGAAGACGACATGAAGAAGACTAAATGACTGGAATTCACAGCCATATTTTCTTGTCGGGACATTTCATTCTTGAGGTTTAAGGCAGGCTAGTGGAAATGAATCTGCGCATGAGCGAGCCTATGATGGACACTCACAATCAACCGAACTCTCCAACATTTATGAGTTCTTCTTTCTACTCATATTGACCTGGCGGCCATCAAGGACAAATCTTCAGGAATGCGCATCACTTACAAGTTAAGAAGACATATCACGCCACTGCGGACCATCAATGTTTACGATATTCTCCGGAGGGGAACATGCATGGATTGGTCTTCTATTATACATTTATCGTATCTGTTGTACACGGTCATATTCTATGGCTGAAGTCATTCCATCGTGTGAAGTTGTGAACCTTTTACACCTGGTATCCAAATCCCGACATGCATGATCGGTACTGATCGATTAGGGATTTGCAGTCGGCGGCAGGATCTTTTGCATTAGAGAAGAGCATACACTCATCGCGCTTGGCCTTCTCATCTTTGCACACACAGCAGGGCTTGTAGAGGTGTTAGCATAGTAATTGAGAGCCGTTTTGATCAAGGAGAAGCTCACCTTGGGCTTGCTAGGAGCTGTGGTGGAAGGGGACGCAACATTTGCGGCGGCGCCCACGGGCGAAGCTATAGAGCCATGTCAGTGTGAATTTGAGAGCAATTGAGTGCTTTGGAGGCTTTAATATACAGATTGTTGTCTGAGCTGCGTCCATCGTGTCTGGTTTTAATTCGTGGTTGTGAATTAACAAGTCAAGAAAAGAGATCGTCGGCTAAGTTGACCTGAATTCGATCATTCGTTTCCAATGGCGAAATGCGCCAGGGGAGTCAGATTTCTAAGCTCTGCCTACTAAGGCCGCTGACCAATCATTTCTCACGGCTCACGTGGAGTCGCGAGGCCTTCGCGCTTCTCTTCTGACGTCATTTCTTTACCGTCACGCAATTGATGCAATGAGGTAGAGAGATCCATTGTTATGAGTGTTGACGATTTGGACTTGGGTGCAAACCTATCCAGCTCGATATCGCGGTTCTCGCTCATCGGTCTTGATGTTTACGAAATTACCGATCTGGGAAACTGGTCCCTGTAATTTGGAGCCGGTGTCTCCCAGGGACTGGCATCACGGATTTACGCCGGGGACAAGGGCAGATTCTCACCCGCTTGGTGACATATCCTGCAACTTGAGTGGTGAAGGTGTAGTCGTATCCAATCATTTTACTGACCCTTTCCTCTGTTGGCTTACTACAGCCTGTGCTCGTAAATCCATCCTGTGCTTTGCTCGAGCCCCTGATTGCGTGAGTCACCGCAAGTCCCATTGAAACTGAGCTGTAAATCGCTTTGTCTTGTGAATGTTGAGAAATAACGAGCCTTCGTCTCAACAGATCATCAGCTGGAGTCCTAGCTATAAAGCCAAAGGCTCCCGGACCCAAGGCAAACGTGCCAGGCATAAAAAGACGGTCTTCGTTCTATCTATTCAACAAATTAACAATGCTTAACATTGAGGAAATCCGTGCCCTTGGAGATGTTCATCCAGAATTTGAGCCTGTAAGTTGTCCAATACTCTTAGACATCACAAGCTATTCACAACCTTTAGATCATCAGAGCCCATAACCCAATGCTTAACGGATGGGATATGAACACTGAGCTGGAATCCTTTCGCGAGATGATGGCTCAGGTGAAACAGTATCGACCTAAACCTGACCCGGCCACACTTTCATACCACACCAAAGACTTCAAGATTCCTCTGAGAGATGGCTTTGAAGTTGACGCCAGATCATACATACCCAACGGTGATGTGCCATCTGACGGACGTCCTGGGCTTGTTGTCTTTCACGGTGGAGGCTTTGTCACAGGTGATCTTGACACTGAAGCAGGACTATGTGTCGAGTTCACAAAGCTGGGAGGCATTGCTGTGAACATCGATTACCGCCATGCTCCCGAACATGTGTTCCCCCAAGCTATCAATGACGCCTTTGATGCTACTATTTGGGTGAGTGAACCTTGATTCAGAAGATGAACGCGGGAATGCTGAAACCAGACAGGTATCTCAAAATGTGGACAAGCTTGGAATCAACTCGTCCAAAGGCTTCATCATTGGTGGTACCAGCTCAGGCGCCGATATCTCTCTGACCATCTCCCATCTGTATAGAGACGCCGAGACCTTGCACCCTCTGACGGGTGTTTATGCTCCAATCACCTCTGGCGTCAATCATCAGACTGTCCCTGAAAAGTACAAAGAGTACTTCATCAGCTATGAGCAAAATGCCAAGGTCCCCGTGTTTAGCGCAGAGTCGATGAAATTCATTCACTGTATGCCTGCAACTCTCCCATGCCCACCTAGGTTGTACTGACAAGTTTCACAGCGAAGTATAGACCTGATCCAAAGAGCCCTCTTGCTTTTCCGGTCGCATTCCCCAGTCATGCAGGCCTTCCCAAGACCTACTTTCAGGCCTGTGGGATGGACCCTGTCAGAGACTGCAGCATTGTGCTTGAACAACTCTACAAGGACGAGGGAGTGCCCACAAAGATTGACATCTATCCGGGTCTTCCTCATGCGTTCTGGGCTATATTTCCAGAACTTGAGATATCGCAGGAGCGTGAGCGGGATGCCGTCGAGGGTCTAAAGTGGCTGCTGGCTGGATGAGGCCCCTAGGCGACGTCAATCAATAGACTATTTGTTATTGTTTGGTTTCAGTGAGTCAGACAAGTCATATTGAAATGTCGAATCAGCGCTGGTAGCCGTGTGTTTCCACGCGTGCGAAATGGTTGACGGTGCAGGTGACGTAGACCAGCCGTGTAAGTGGGCAAACTCGAGGAGCTGTGGCCAAAAGTACGAATCTGTCGAGATCTCGGAATGAAAACTGAACAAAAGAACAAGAGCATTTGGAAAACGTCTACTAATTTGGATATCTTCAAGATTCATAAATAAATAAAAATTACAAAAAGAAAAGAAAAAAGAAGAAGAAGAAAAGTTTCCAAAGAACACTCTCTGAGTAGAGTGTGTTGAGACTGAATCTCAGGTTCAACTATCCTTTCAAGGAAGACTATCTCTCACACAGCGCACCTGACAGAGTACTCGAGCAAAATCTTGTTTATGTCAAGCTTGATCTCAGAGCCCAGTAGACAATTAAATAGAGGCCACGCGGCTGCTGGCAGACTGATTGATCTGACGTGTACCTAACTATTGCCGAATGACTCAGCAGTCGACGGAAATTAGGTAGCCCACGAATCGTCATTGAATAATTCTTTGAGTTGCTTTTACCTTCGAATAAGCTCGGATAATAGTGTTGTCTGTAAAGTCGCCATCCGCACATTACAATAGTGCGAAAAACACAAACACACAAACCGGTGCCGAGTTAACGGACTCGGAGTGTGGCCCAATTTATTCGCCCCCGGTGTCTTATTGGTCTCGGGACCGATCATGCTCCCTCACGCAACCCCCAGCCCAGCCCAAGCCAGACCTTAACTTAGTTACTTAGTTACTCTCTGAAGGCGATTTCAAGGAGATGCGAGTGCGCGAGTGAGTGGCCGCGCGGCAACAAGAATGTCCCGAACCAAACGCATTTGCCTTCTCTGCTGATCCAAATGGTTCGACCACTTCATGTGAGTCTGGTACGTGTGTCTATTGTGCCTAGTCAAGGTTACGATGCGGGTTACGCATGTGTCTAGATCTCGCCTCCTAGCGGATGAGATGCCCCATCTGGCAGCCCGTCTCAATGGAGAATTTTTTTTATATATAAATCGTATGCTATGTCGACACTGGATGGTACGATATTCACCACCAGCTTCCTCTACATCATCTACATTTATAAACACTCTTGACCCCTTCTCACTATCATCACTACCATAAACCAACCCATACTTGATAGGTATCCATTACACAAAATGAGCCGACAACCAAACTCATACAACAATGCAAACTTCTGGGATTTCATTCAGCACTTTGACCCCAACCAAGCAACTGGCCGGGGAGTAGATCATCAGACTGAGACTCCGTATCCCTCGTTCATGGCGGGTTTCCCCTTTGGTTCGCCAGCTGGTCCTCACCCTCCTCACCCTCCTCATCCCCATGGCCATGGACATGGCCCACGAGGACCTCCTCCACCCCCCGAGGCCGACGGCTTCGTCTGGGGTCCTTGGTTCGCTGGTGAAGGTGCTCCCGGCAATCAAACCCATAATGAGCAACGCCAGCAGGCAAACGAGACTCAGCAAGCTACCAGAAGTGAAAGCCACGAGTCTGACGAGACCATGAACGCCCCTGACCCCGAAGAAGTTGCTCCTGAGGAGAGCCAGTGCGGAGCTCGGCCTGAATGGGCTGGGCGAGGTCGTGGCCGTGGCCATGGCCGTGGAGGTCCTCGATGCGGTCGAGGTCGAGGCCGCGGTGGCTTCCCCCACGGTCCTCACCATGGTCCTCATCACGGCCCTCATCCTCCCCCTCCCCCCTACGGTGGCCCCTTTGACCTTGCTGGTCTCTTCCGCGGATGGGGCAACCATCCTTTCGTTCGCAACATGCGCGAGCAGTTCCAAGAGAACCAGAACCAGAACCAGGAGCAAGACACCAATGACTCATCCGACTCCTCCTTCAACCCACCTATCGACATCTTCAACACCGAGAAGTCATATGTCATTCACGTCGCCCTCCCCGGCGCAAAGAAGGAGGATATTGGTCTAAACTGGGATGGCGACCGCAACCTTCTCAAGATCGCAGGCGTCGTTCACCGCCCTGGCGATGAAGCCTTCCTCAGCACTCTCACCTCTGGCGAGCGCAAGGTCGGCATGTTTGAACGCAACGTAGCTCTGCCGCCCACGGGAGCAGATGAGCGCGACGAGGTTGATGGTCTGGGTATCACCGCCAAGATGGAGGATGGTGTCTTGGCCATTACTGTGCCCAAGGCTGAGAAAGAGTGGACTGAGATCCACAAGATTGATATCGAGTAAGGATTGGGAAAGGTTGGAAATGAGATGTTATGATATCCACACTTGTAATGGAGTTTGACAGCTGCTATGGCTTTTGGTCATTTTCACGATAACGTCGTTTAGCTTCTAGTTTTTTAGTTTGGGCCCCGTTGGCGCGAATACCTTGATTGCCTAAATACGATATATAGATATATTTAGCAAAGGCGGAAAAAGAAAAAGATTAAACCACAGAAAAAAAAGGAGAAGGGGGAGGAGGAATAAAATATACAAACTTATATTCATTTATCAAAATCTTCATTTGCAGACGTGACTTGTCCCAGGTGAACCCTTTGTGATCTAAGTTCACATGACGGAGCGGAGAATCAAGGTGACAAGTATAATATATTTACTTTATTTATGTATGTATTTATTTATTTATTCAGTCTAATAGCTTGAAGCTGAACATGTCTTCATCCGCGTTAAGGCCTATGCAATGGGTATATGCTAGAATGTAGTGGGAGTTCTGTCTCAGAAGAAAAGGGCTTTGCCGGGCTCTCCAAGCCGGTCGTGTTTGAGAAGGTGAATATAAAAATAACGTGCTCCAAAGTGCTTTCGTCATGTCGGTCGAACAAAAGAGCTCGGTATGCTCTTTGCACAATATGCAATTTCAGATGATCTTTCCAGGGTAAAAAAGTGAAGGAATAACAAAGAAAACAAAAGTGAAAACCAGCAAAGTGAACTCCTGTGTAGTCCTCAACGTCCAATCATTAGGGTATTAGTGAACCGAGCTGGGCATGTCCCTCGTCACTTCAGAAACAAAAA